CTATATATATATATATATATATATATATATATATATATATATATATATATATATATATACATATAGTAAAAAAGAGAAAAATATATATATATATTATAGTTTATTTAGTTTACGGACAGTGCATGGAATAATTATTATTTTATTATTCTATAATTATTTTTGTTGCACACGATCATTCGGTAGACGTATTTATTAATAAATTGTATGGTTTATTAATTAATTGTATGGTTTCTGGTATTAGTACTTAATTTTCTGACATATTGGCGACACAACCCATGCGAAATTACGTGACAATTGTCACGTTGTTTAGCGAAGACGTGTAATCCATGTGTAAAGAACCGGAGTGGTGTCTCACAATTTCGTCGAAGTATCGATTGGGAACACTTGTTGCGGGGTTACTGTCGGAACAAGTATTGTCAAGCCGTCTTTGCTTGTCCCTTACCTATAGAAAACAGGCGGAAGTAGTATAGTCGGTAACGAATGCAACGTTAAACCGATTGCATCATTTTGCTGCCGTTTTTCCAACAAATAGCTCCAATACACTTAATTTCTGTAGAAATTAAATCACATTGCAATAATTTCATCTTAGCATGCGAATAAATTATAAATTATAAATAACGGATCATTTTTTAAGTGTATGTAAAATTAGTATTTCGTTTTTGAAGTAGAATAGTCTGAAACACCGCAAGAAAGATATAAAGCAGTTTCTTCATTAATATATTTAGCTGACAATGAAAATAAGAAATAACAAAGTAGGTACTTATTAGGGAAATTTAACAGCTAAAGAATATTTTGAGGGTCAAGCAAAAGTTTATTTATTATTTGAAAATAGCGCCATTTATAACTACTGGCGCCTGTAGCGCCGAAACTGTGAAGCTTTTTTCAGGGTCCGTACAGCGCAAATTAGCCTGTGGCGAAACGTTCAAACTGTTAGCCAATCTCAACTGTTGGTAATTTTGTCTATTAGTTTCAACATTTTGCCATGGGCTAATTAGCGCTGTATGGTCCCTTAAGAAATTTCGTGTTTCAACCAGAAGAGGCGCCAGTTGTTCTTAATGGCGCTATTTTCAAATTTTGTAAAGCAAATAAATCTTGCTGATTGTACTTGCATTGAATGTTTAACTTGAAAACAAATAAACGTACTACAAACTAAGTACATTAGAATTGCTCCGAGGTGAATAACAATAGTACTACCGTACGTGTAAGTTGTACGATTCTTTATTATAATAGCAATAATAATGGGATAGTGGTAGTAGTAATAATATGCAGTATACATTTCTCATTATCCATATTTTCCCATAAACATACATCGAACGTTTGAACCGCAAAGTGCATTAAAGATATATATCGGAATATGTTACATTAAGCCCGAAACGAGTCACTCATAAACCATCATATACATACATAACATACAGCTCAAGTAATACTTCTGTTCAACTTTAACGTGTATCCGTAGTCCTCCCCTGTCATTTGTGGATTAATTGCAAGTATATACAGTGACAGAATTAAATCTATTCATAGACCGGTGACGCTTACTGTCAACTGACAATTCTGTTTTCTGTGTAACACTAAATCAACAATTATTTCCATCGGCCTACGTCTCAATAGGAATCGAAATTACCATATACAATTCAGGAATGAAGGACATTCGTAATTTAATGTTATAATTTACCGAGAATATTACTAAAATAGTAAAAGGGAGGATGGTAAAAGTCAGCGGTGTATGAACATTTTCGCATGCCGCTGTGTATAGCATCGGTAAGTTCCGAATAGTTCAATGTGCTGTCGATCACCTGTTCGCTATCTACTTATTATACATATACATACTCGAAATTCTATTGTTGAGCAAAAGAAAAAACTTTCGAGCTTGGCAGAAATCAATTTGAAGCACCGACCGGAATGCCAAATTTATTCTAATAATTTATCATTCGCAGCTAAAATAAAGGAACAACGCAACAGAAACATGTTATTCGCTACGAAATGCCATTTTTCACAAAAAGAATTATTCTGATTTTGAATGCAGATTTTTAGGAAAGAATGGTATTATCGATTTTGCTTTAAATGCACTCTTGTTGTGTTCTCCGGGAAAACTTACACTTATATAATATGTACAAATCAAGAATTTCAATAGATATCTATATATACGTATATACATGTAACGTACACTAAGGAACGCATTCGCATTATAGTATGCTACAATTTATGCGCGATATATACGTTTTGAAAGCATAGTTTCATGTCATGAGTATAAAATCAAAGGAAATCTACCGTGTATTTCACAAGAATTGACAAAACCAGCATCACTCCAATTGTGATCAATGGCAGGGAGGAAAGAATATAATTTGCCATAAATGAGAATGTAATTCTTCTGTCTTCCCGTTCCTTTCAAATTCCTGATACAAATAGAATAAAACCTACTACATGTTCTTGAAAATGTTCTCCCTCATTTCTTCACTTTTGTCAAATCGACGGACACGTAATACATATTCGATACGTTCTGTTCAACCGTCTTTGCAATGTGTCGTTTTGCACTCGATCGTTGTTCTATCACAAAACGCTGCACATCATCATGAAAAACCGATCAAAAGCTTACCCTACGTGTTTGTACATCGCATCGTAAATTTCTACCCTTCGCGTCATCGAGTCCCCACATCTCCACTATCGGTTGTGAGTTACACGTAATGAAACTAAATTTCTTTCTTGTTTAAAGTTAGTTAAAATATATGTAAGTATGGAATATATCACCGAAAGTAATGATCAGAAAAAAGCACAGACTTTCGGAGCAATCATTAGTATACGTTTTTAAAACGAGTCGCTCCGGCAGATTAATCATTTTATGGTATTATCGACGAATTACATATTCGAATGTCGTAGAAGCACCATTTTCCTCGAAACACTTTGCTATTATGTATAGTATATCAACAGATTTGTGATCAATTTTTGCAAGATAGCGTCAGAGCGTCGACGGACTGCAAAGTGTTAAGCAAACTGTGCACCTTTTTAATAGTATAAAGAAGATATATCGACGAATAGACGAGAAAAATCGTGTGGTAATTTGTTTTGTAAAAAAATGCGTAAGGCGGCGGCTATACTCTGGCGTTGGAACGTTCTTCGCGCTCTACGTTACTCTATCTAAAGTGCTAGAAGAAAGACTTTACAGTAGGAAACGGAAATTTAAGATCCCGGCTCGAATAATAATGCAAACAGGAAGAAGCAGGACGCAAAGCACTTTCGCCGATTATTCTGATCCGCGTCGATAGAATGGCAGTCACGCTTCTTATTAGTTACAACCTTGGTGTAATGATACAATTAGCTCGATAGTTAATAACAGTAGCTGCATTGCACATCACCTAACAATGGGATCCATAAAATTTTTCATATACCTAACATTTCTTACATCATCGATATCTCACGCTTCGCTTTATATAATGCAATAATTGTTTCTCCATCCAGTGTATAAAATCAGACTTCATATCGTATCGTGTCCCTAGACGTGTGTAACAAATTGTCGCGATACGATCAACATTATTTCTGCTATAGTTAACTTCGCAATTGATTCGCGTGCAAGTTAATACTCTTCTCTTTTACGATCGTAAATTAACATTTCTCTCTCACATTCACGCTCTCTCTCTCTCTCTCTCTCTCTCTCTCTTTCGACACGTGTTTCAATTACGTTCCTTCGCTATTGGAATTCTGGCGCTTCATCAGTGACGCTATAGAACAGTATGAACTTTAAACGCACTAAAACGGTTCAGCAACATGATTCAGCCCACTTGGAGTTAGAATAAGGAAAATATCTAAGATTTCTGCTATTCTTATGCTTCTTGTTGAGCCCGCGAAAACATTCCGTATAAAGGAAACTAAATGTACAAAACGGTACCCTGTATCTATTTCCAGTGAAATTCGATTAAACAAAAACAGAAAATATAAGCTGAACAACACAAAGTGGTAATAATAGTCTTTCGCAAAACAATAGCGACAGTTTACTTGAGAGTCGTAGAACCTGTTACTTTCCTTTCGCATTTGCTAAAGGGGAGTCCAGGTCAAATTAAAGCTGGATTTGAAACTTTTGTATACAATCGACTGAAACAAGTAGTGCGTTCATTGCTGTTCACTTACTTATCCTGAGGTATTTTTGCCGGTGTGTCTGTGTGCCTTACAAAAAACTTTGATTCGCATAAATGATCCTGATCAGCGAGCTCGTCGTGGAACATCGCGCGAATTCTATCGCGGAGGATACCGACTCTGCTGTATAGCTTTCCCTGAATGATTCTTCATATCATTCGGGTTGTACATCGTTGGTCCCTAAAAGCAAAGATTCGTAATCAACACGAGTCGGCAGGTTGAAATTAGACGTGTATATACTCATTTTAATTGAACAAAATTTGTTATACCGTTTCCGTATAATCTGGCGTAAAAAGAAACTAAGTAAGATGAAATAGAAAAATTAATATAATCATGTAACATTATCGTTTCGCTTCTTCTTTACAGTTACTTGTTTGAGATTTCCGCAAATGGAATGATCGAATTGCAACGAAAAGCATTATGTGTCGATTGACGATCGACGATGATAATGTACACTGTGTGGGCCGCAACCAAAAATCTATCCTTCACCAAGCTTTCCCATAGTTTTTCCATTGAAATCTTATGAAATTAACGTGCGCGGCATGATGAATGTAAGCTTGATTTAGCAGTAAAGCCGCACGGTGGTGGGACAAATCAAAAGTGAAAAAGGCTTGTATGAAATCTATCAAACATGTAGAGTATTTTTTAAATGGCAGAGAATGGACTAATAGAAAGTGGCCATTGAAAAGCGAGTCTTCCATAGTGAAATCACTTGTGAAAAGTATAGTTCTCCTTATACGCCAGCAACCACTCTACCTAGAAGAATGTGCCAATTAAAATATACTCCTCATTTAGATACTGTATGATAAATTCAATACTGTGCTAAACCTTGGCAACTCAACAATTCTCTTGACTGTAAATTTCTACAAGTTCAATTTTACAAGATAACGTTTGATCACTGTCGTTTGACCGAGGTTTAGCTGTATAATAAATAAATTATTGTGTAATTGAGTAGAATGTGTGAATGGTCACTTCTGGAATGAAAAATAGCTAATGTCGCTGAATTACCTTGTTCCTTGGGAGGAGACGCGGATCCCTCATTGTGTAGCTCTGCACCTCTCGCGATAACGAGCTGGTTGAGCTCCATCGAGAGAGCTGTATGCCATATACAACCAAACAATCTTGTCTCACTAACCAATACTCGGGCTTTTGCAATGATTAGGCATCAAAATATGCGAGAAGTATACAACACGGATGTATCCAAGAGCGTGACGGCCACGAATAAACTACTTTAATGGTCCATTTTTGGAAAAGTCGATATCATCAATGTTGCAAGTTCCTCACATTAGCATATAACAAGTACAGTATTTTCTATAGTAAGTGTAATTTCATTATAAAACTCATCATGCTCAGAATTGTCACGCAAATACACTACTGTGTCCTGTACCGTGTTATGGTGTAAACCTGAATCTTCCTAGTGCACTATTTACCAGAAAAACTGCCTACGTGCGAAAACTAAAAATGATTAAAGCAGAATGAAGCCTTTGAAATAATGCTAACACTTTAGCTACTAGTATAATTTTTTAGTAGGTGTTTCAGTGAATATGCTATATCTAGATGAGTATTAATCTTCTAAGTATTAATCTCAGGAGAACTTGTTATGCAACTGGTAGTCAAAGTGTTAACAAAACCACACTGGTTAATATCGAAAAAAAGAAATCACAAATGCGTTAAAGAACAGCTATTTGAACACTATACTCCATTTCTTGCTGCTTTGTCTTTTTCCCATAGGCATCGCAACATCAATTCGTTTAGATTGTCCAGACAATTGTAGAGGGCTAAGGATTGCTGCACCAACCGCACATACAATATTTACGATCTGAACCATGCTGTATAATAGACACGGGATACCATGCATACACGATAATGAGAACAATGTATAAAATTAATAAAATAGTCCTTACTATCTGCAACAATTATTATTTCGCTACATCATTCTGCCTCCCCGACTGCTTGCAAAGAAAACATAAAAAAGAAAGGTTGATTAAACACAGATTGAGTTTAATTAGTATGATGATCGTTAACATGACGCAGGAAGCACACGGATCTCTAGAAACAGCAACGAAACTATTGATACTTCAAATCTTTTTTAAATTGAATTATATCTTTCTAATAGAGAAAACATCTACACTTTGACCTCATTCTGCCCCCCCCTCTCTCTCTAACTTTTATACAAATACAGACTGTACAAACGTAACTGAAAGTTAATATAAGAGAGCCAAAAATACTGTTCAGTGAGTGAACGATGCACAAAACTAGGGGTCATGTTCAACATTGTGTGGTACTGAAAGGGAGATCGATCAGAAAGTAACATTTTAACATTACAGTTCCAAAGACAAGTACAACGAAGCTGCATACCAGCATACTGCAGCCATAACTTAAAGATAACAAACTGAGTTGTGTACAATTAGTCGGAAACTGTAGAGGTACATACTGCAGTCACAACTTAAAGACGATAAAGGGGTTGTGTATAATTAGTCCGAAACTAGAAACGCATACGTGAAACTGTATTGTTAATGTTGTATATCTATTGTTTGTAGTGACAAGACTGTGCACAGAAATGTAACGAAAAGAAGTAGTATTCAAAAAAAATGATTTTGTGTCGAAAGACTTACTCCTTGAGATGCATTTTCGGAAACGTTCGCCGATGGTGCAGCAGGCGTCGACGTTGATGTTAGGGAGGTCACGGTCGTATTCAGATCGTTCACTAAAAATTAGATACAATACAAAATATGTAGTATACTTTAATTATTCGAAGGCTACCATGAAAACTAATACACACCTGGCGCGGGAATGAATAATTGAGGCGAAGAAGTTGCCATAGGTACAATTGGAGACGTTATGGGGGTTGGCATGTTTGATGGTGCAGTGGTGCCCTTCGAACCAGTCGGATTCATTACGTCTATGTAATTAGCGCGCATACTCCTTCCCTTCGGTAATTTGAATTTATTAACGCCGGAATCTTCGGCTTGGGAAGGTGGCTGAGGTAGCTGAGGTGCTTGAGAAGATTGTTCCGCTACAGGTGGCCTGAATCCCATGTCAGAAGCCTTTGGAGGGGGAGCTAATGTCGCAGAACTACCATCGCCGTCTTCATCCTTGTTCATCCACTTTTTGGCAACGGGATCCCACACAATCTATTGCAACAAACAATATCAATTAAAATATAAAATCTCTCATTTGCAGATGTGTACAGCATTCGCCCCAAAACTACAATTCCTAGGGGTAGACTACAGGGCTCACACAGGGAGCTGAATCAACAAGTGTTAGAAAACGTCGCGTTAAATCTGAAGCCAGAACGTATGAATAATTCGTTAGCTGTTAATTGTCCGAACATTCAGGTATACTGGCCTTTTCCTTTGGTACCGTTACAATCAGAGACGTTCAACTACCACAAGTACCCGCGTGAGCCCTTATAAAACACAGAAACCATCTGTCGTGATTGTTGAGCGATACGTTTTTAACAGATCTGCTTTTACTTATATCACTCAGAGAGCTAGGATCTTACCGTTGGGTTACTGTCATCGGGCAAAATCATTTGGTTCTTCGGTTTCGGAGCAAACTTGCTGAACAATCCGCCGATCCAGGAACCTCCGGTGTTGGACGGCTTCTTCTCGGTTGGCTTTTCCGGAGGCTTTTTGGCACCTGCTGTTTGCTTGGAGCCCGTAGTCTCCAACGCGTCCAACTCCTCCAGTGGATCGAACTGCTTCCTCGTTGACGGTGTCATTGAAATCGCCGGTTTCGGTGGCTGAAATAAAGTATACGATTCATCATCGCAAAATTGTTCTGGCAAAGTTGATCACTGTTTATTGTAACAGCAACCGCCCAGGCTTTATGTGGTTTTGCTTTACATGCTCTGAACAACCTGGAACCGCATAGCTATCACAGTAAGCAGTGAGAAACTTTGCTTGCGTAACATTGTACAATCGTTGTTTGTTAAAGTAATAACAAAAGAGGCGCAGTCTTGAAAAATCCAAAGAACTCGATGATATATAGGAAACTTTATTGTATATTTAACAATAACAGACTTGTGTACAATACGTGACATCTAAAACAAAGAGCTAGTTCTCTAGACCTGGCTCTATAATTACTCTGTATCAAAGAGCTGTGTTAACGACTGATACTTTATAACAACGCAAAACATCCGTAGACATCCTCGACGCGGAAGAACTGAAGATAATCGCACAGATTGCCGCATACTCGCCGATTTCGTTCAAGCTCGCGGAACTCTTTAATTATACAAGAAATCCTGCGAATTTGATGGGAATAGGTGGCTATGCGGCAAATCCATTGCGACTCAAATTACTCGGCATTAACTTAATCGCAAGTTCACATAATATTTTTTAGTATGAGAAAAGCAAGGTGAAAAACAATAAGAACGGCAAACAATCTTGCAGCATCGAGCACACCCATCGTCTACTCACAATTCGTCGGAACATCTATATCATACGTTTTCATGATTGACTTTTCGACAGGGAGTTCGGTAAGCTCGGCCAAGTTAAGATCACTTCGAACAGGTCTAACCGGCAAATCTATCGGATAGGTTCCGCCGAAGACAAGCGGCTTGTACCGAAACAATTCAGAGGAATTCTGTGAGGGGTTCGAGTAGGACCACGCATCTACCGTGTCGCAAATCACGTCTTTCCTGCGGATATGGGGAGCTACCCTCATAACCTTTTTGTCCTCGAAATTACAGTACTGCTTTAAAGTCTGACTATCGGTATCGGAAGGCCGAGGTGTTCCTCTTCCTATCCGCGAGTCGAGCTTGGAGATCGACTCCAAGCTGACTTCTGTAAACTGTACGTCTAAATCAGTGGTGGCCGCCGGGGAAGTTAAATTATCTTCGTTAATTAAAGGCTCTGGATCGTTCGGTACTGAAGTATCGTCATCGTGGTCCGACTTTTTTCTGATTTTGCATTTCAAGAACACAGGAGGTTGCGAGGAGGGCGGCTTCACGTATCTACCATCTATCTTCTTAATCTTTTTCACGTCTCTCGGAGAAAGTTTGTTGTTCGACAAGAGTTTTGGATAGGCCGCCGTGATCTTTGGATAGGTGATCATTTTCGAAGGTTTCGTGGACTTGGTCTCCTCTAACTTGCTTGACCGATAGGGATTCGAAACCGACGACAATAAGCTACTTATAATATTCGATTCGGAGGAACAGGAATCGATTCGTGGTTTCGCTAGAGAGTCGCTTAATATTTTGCGTCGACGTAACGAGCTAATGTTGGTCCCGTCCAACGACCACTCGCCAGGACCGATATTACTATCCGCAGTGAGCGCGTAATTACTTACTTCAGGAGTGGCTGTTTTATCTTCTCTTTCCGTCTGTCCGTACGCACGCATCAAGAAAAAGGTGAAACAAAACTCTGTTATTCTCAAGTCTACTGGAGGAGATTTGTTAATAGTTTACTTGAAGCAGCGGGGTGAGCAGGATGTCTCGGACCATCCATTTGGTACCATAGAAAGCTATAGAGATTCCATCAAGAAACCAGTTGCTTCTATCTTAATAGCGGTGGTCTGAGACACCCCGTCGAACAACGAGACTGAGAAAGTTGAGATGTCAAAATTAAGCTAGCTGATTGCACCAAGCGACTCTCACCTCATAGTTCCATTTTTCCTGCAGCTGAGAATTGTCGGTGTCACCTTGTTCGGGGGGATACGGTGCACCTGTTGATTGTTGTTGCCAGTTGCTAACAGTACTGTCATTCCTCCCGTAATTACTCTGATAATAAGAGTCTTGGTTCCAGTAATCTTGTTGTTGCGACGGTTGGTAGGATTCCTCATTGTTTCTCGAATATTGCATGGATTGGTCGTACGTGTCCGGTATATTGGACGGCAATGACAATGGTTGCCATTCTGATTGCACATCGGTCGAGGGAACCTCCATCATCGACGTTGGTCCCTCTCTGTAGTCCGGTTGGGGAGGATTCCAGAGTTGGGCTTGTTGTTGTTGTTGTAGCTGTTGTTGCGGGTGCTTCATCTCATACATGTCCTGATTTTGCATGCTACTGTAAGACTCCTGCTTCGCTTGCGATCCATAGGTATCGTTCTCGACTATTTCGCCAGACTGTAACAAAGTTTAACAATCAGTATCTGTATTTTAATCCTATCATTACCACAGAACAATATTCTTAATCGAGTCCATCGTCCGTCGAACTTACATAGCATTTGCTAACAATTTCAGCTAAATTATCGAACCAAAGTAAAGTTACAGCTTCATCGGTGGAATCCTTGTAAACCGGGTCATGATACTTGATCCTGTCCCCAAGATTGTAGACCGCGGAGATGAACGACTTCTTGTATTTCGACGGCTCACTGGTGATGTTCACTGCAATTTGTTCTATGTACAATAACGCTTTTTCGATCAGTCCATGATCCATCATCTTCAACGCCAGGTCGAACTTAAAGGTCTGCAGATCCACCAACGTAAATCCTGGCTCGCTGAGGTTTCTTGCGTACTCGTAGATTTCCGTGAGCATCACCGCTTCCGTCGTGAGGAACGTGTTGTAAGGCTTATGATGATTTGCACCGATTAGCACGAGTTTCACATTGCTAGCTTCATAGGCCCCGAAGTCAACTTGCGAGAGAATGTAGCAGAAATGGGCAGCGTGAATGTCTCCTCGCGCGGAAAGTGTGTCCCCGAGAGTTGTGATAGAGCGACGGTTAATGTCAGGATTAGAGGACGTATTGGATATGATCATAGCTAAATGGGGTCTCCAATCGTCCCAGCGGGGATCCGAGATACCGGTGACGACGGCAGGTACACGACCAGAATGCAGCTGGTACAGTGTTTGCAATGGGTCATGGTACGGTAAACTATTAGCAAAGCGGGTCATCACTGATGCGTGGGTGCGTTTGTCCAGCTTACTGGCCAGGAACAACGCGTGTCCCCAAAGTCCCTCAGTCATAGCATACTCTGTGCAACAGAAGCAATGAGATTTACAACCAGTAATTCGAATGATCCTTGCGAAAGGTACAATTTGAAAGGAGACCTACCCAGCGCCTCTTGAACTAAACCGTAGAGCAGTGTATTTCGAAATTCGTCCGTTATTTGCTCAATGCTTTTTCGTGGTTTGCTTTCAATCTTCTCTGAAGCAGCCGTACTACATTCTTGACTACCTTGAAATCCATCTCCACCTAGTCCCGATCTTTGAGAGATCACAGACTCTCTTCTTCCCGAATCCTGCGATTTCTTGTTTAACTCGTAAGGATACGTTTCCTTGTTCCTGAGCAACAACGCCGCTATGTCAACGCCGACAACATTCTACAACGATACGTAAATTCAGAACACTGACAAATTATTTCCTTTCGTATTCGTTAAAGGGAAAATATCTTACGCCGTTCTGCTGAATCAACATGATCATTAATTCATACAAAAGTATGTACGAGGCACGATCGATCATCTCTTCGTTCGCCGCTGCTTTCTTTATTTTATTCTCGCAGTATTCGATAATTGTCTTTTTATGAGTGACACCTCTGCAGAAAGAACAAACGTCGCGTTAAAAAATAAGCAAAAACATAAAGGGAATCAGATTAGATACATATCTAAGGAGGCATATTCGTCTGCAACACGTAAGATTACAAGTAATTCATCTATTCGGAACAATAAGCATGCTTAGATATATTGATTACACTTGCTTAATTAAAGGTCCAGGATACGTCCGTAAATCACGGGTCACGGGATCATGTGAAAGTAGATTGTCCAGTTTAAGAATGTCCACCTTAGCTCTTTCACCATCGGTTGGATAAGATGGAAGCACGTGAATCAATGATCCGATCGAGAAACACCCTAAAAATGTGAGATTTTTAGTATACCTTAACAGATTTCTCATGTCAACTGTATATATTATATTTTGAATAATTTGATACTGTACCGTATGCATGTGAAGTTGAAAACTTAGTAGGAGTCATCCTTGCTGAAGCACTCGTCGAGTCCTCAAGCACAGACGTGTCGCCTAAAGTTCGTTTGTCACCGGTTGTTCTGCAGAGTACATTTCTCGTTCAAATGGATGCTAACAATCACAGTAGACTGTGAATCTTTATGCAAAATTTTCTAGACAGTATTTATGAAGACTGTAATTAATAAATGCATAAAAATTCGCAATCGAATCGTGAGAAACTAATAGATGTAAGCTATGTTAATACTAATGTTAGTGTGCAACAGTATGTTGCATCATTTTCAAGGGATAAATATGAAAAGAAATGGCTTCTACTAAAAGTTCTACATGAGCAAAACACAAAAATTTCTGTCGAAAAATTATCTAGCGTAGAGAAAGATACTTCGAAAGCGACGAGGATGTTTTAACTAACGATAAGTTACTTTCAATAGTTAGCAGATTCGACAAATTTCAATACATCAGTTGTGTCGAACCGAGAGGTCTCTCTCGGTCTCACCTATTCAAATTTAGACAACACGGTCGTTTCCGTTGCGGACTCCTGGCCCATCCAGGACACCCGAAATACGGGACATACAATGCTTTGTTTGGCGAGTGTAAGCATGCGCTTGGATTCGTAAAAAATCTAACACATAATCGACATTAAAAAACCGTAGGTAAATATGAAACCAGAAGATCATATTGATTTCGATTCTTTGCAACGCTGACCGAGGCTCACCTATCGTCGCAAGAGCTACGACCCGAGTGAACGCTGGCCCTATCTTCTGGATAATTAGTGACTCCACGGGACACAAGCTGTTGCTGATGTTGATTAGCATAATACTTGTGATACCATTCCGAATAAGCGGCAGGATTCGTCCGTCGTAAATTCTCTATGTACGCGTAATAATTATTAGCATAATGAACACCATAATCGTATCCAGGGTAACCTGAGAAACAAAGTCAAATTAATTCTACCATCAATGCTCAGCCAACGTACAGAAAAATAATGCATACCGTTATAACCATAGTAATGGTCCCTCGACCTCATATAGTACGCTCGGTCTCTGTCGTTGTAGGATGACCTACTAGATGGTCTAGACCTGAGGAACGCATATGTGAAGATTACGGGAATAATACTTAGACACTGCTATACAATTTCAAATTCACCTACCCCCTACTATACGGATCATCGTAGTAAGGATCTCTGATATCGAAATCGTCGTATCGTCTCGGTCGTCTGTCGTCCCTTCTCCTATCCCGATCGAGATAATCCCGATCTCTAGGATGCCGGGGATCGTAATCCCGGATCTCCCTTTCCCTACGACGTACGTCCTCGCCCCTATCTCGTCTACGATCATCGGGTCGTCTCCTACTGTCTCGTTCATCGAGATCGTCTTTAGGTTTGTTCCTCCTCTCCAGATCTTCCCGGGTGTGTCTATCCAAATCATCCCGGCTGGGATGCTTCCGATCGTCCTCCCTGTAAGGCATTTCTCGACGATCGAATTCGTCGCGGCTGTTGTAGGATCGATCGGTCTCTGCACCGCGACGACGGTCATAGTAATAGTCGTCATCGTATTCTCGTTCACGATCGTAATAGTTCTTCCGTTCATACTCGTATCGTCTCCGTTCCGAGCTGCTGTCACGTCGCCTTTCCCTACTATCGTCCCTGCTGTTCCCGGAACCTTCATCATTCTCATCATCGTACGAATCTCTGCGATTTGAGGAGCTGGAAGCTCCTTGGGCCTCGCGTATAGATGCCCCAACAGCTTCCTCTCGCTTGCTCCTCGAATCACTCACTTGATCCGATATAGCGGCTAAAACCAGATCAATATCAGTGAAGCAATTAAATTTCCAATGCGGACAATACGTGAAATATAACTCGACATAGATACCATACTTACAGCTCATAGAAGGAACTTCCTGGGACCCTGTGACCACTCTCCCATTGGGTCTGTCGTCCAAGGACTGGGTAACCTCGTTGGGAGACGCGCCTCCAGGTATCTGCCTGAGATTCTCATCCGTCTGCTGATTAGGCTCTTCGGGCTCATTGCCCCTACCAGGAACTTCCCGTGTCTCGCTGGATTCTAACATGATCTGAGGTTGCGACTGCTGCCTCTCCTCCCCAGAAGGATCGTTACGAGATTGTTGAGGAGGCAACGAGCGTTCTCTGCCAGACGGATCATTTCGGCGTTCCAACGTGTCCGAGTCTGATCGCGAGAGCAGAGAAACGCTTCTCTCCTGGCCAGGAGGGATATCCCGTCGCTCAGATCTATCAGTGATGTTCCTCAACTGCAATCCCTGCTCCTGACCCGAAGGATCATTCCTCCTTGGGTCCAGTCTCTGAGCAGACTGGACGTACTGCTCCTGGCCAGTTGGATCGTTCCGCCTCGGGTCTATAGAACTCGATTGACCTGGTACTTCTCGCAGGAAAGGAATATCATTAGGCACTTCGTCGTTTTCATCGTCCTGACTCGGTGGAGTCGGCTCATGCTCCTGATGCGAGTCTGTTAGCTCTCCGGTCTCCAAGAATGTATTCCTATCATTCGACGCAAACTCATAATTGTCGGGCACCTGTGAAATAATCCTTTGTTAGTGCAATTATTCATTTATATCATAGAGTCATAAGCAATCATCATATAAAGTACTTGTTCCGGTTGGAGAGATGGAAGAGACCGTGTCGGTTGTTGAGCAGCAGGTACCTCGACGTTGTTCACCTCTTGCCGAAAGTCGCGCGTGCTGACTGCCTCCTTAACAGGATTAACAACCGGTTTCGGATCGTTATCCAGCGTTTCTTTATTTATTGAATCCCTCGAGCCGTAGATATCGCGTTCCTGCAATGATGGCGTGACTACCTCCAAATTGACAAATTCCGCAGGCTGCTGAATGATCTCATAATTCTCGACGTTCTGCTCAGCACTCCAATCCTTTGTCGACCTGGTAAGATCCTTAGGATACCATGGATTCTCCGCAGAACGCGGTAGCGTGCTCTGATTGTACCACTGGTCATACCCGCTTTGCACCACGTTGTCTATTGGTGCAAGGCTCGTTGCCTGATATCCACTTTGTGCAGAATGTTCTTTATTTACCACTGCTTGATTATCAATGGGATGGGGAAGCTCCACACCAGTACTAGTGTAGTCCAAAGGCACTACAGGGATCTGATCTGTGGTGGAATTATGAGGAGTCGTACTTTGGGACCATGCATCCCCGGATGCAACAGGAACCGAAGCTTCGGAAGATTCATTCTGATGTTCTAGAAGTTTGCTAGTTTTAGGGCCAAGGCTCATCTGTTCTAATTTCGTAGGTAGTTCCTCTGGTGAATTATTCTTTCCCCAGTCTACCAAGTCACTCACCGAATTGAACTCGCTATTCTCTTGAACAGAAACATTTTCTGAACTTGTAACAGTGGATACAGTTTCTGGAGTAGACGACATGTTCAATCGAGAATCAGATAATTGCGTCTTCGTGACACTCGTTTTTGCATGTATTCCAGGATCTTTCGAGATTAACGATGGTACAGATTTCTTCCTCTCTTCCGGCTCTATGCCAGATTCTATAGGCGGAGGTATATTCGGTAGCGAATAGTGAGGAGGTACTGTACGATTTGGATGCCAATCATTCGAAGGAATAACACCGGCATTGTCTGGCTTCATATTCTCTTCTGGCAAGTTATTATTCCGTTGCTCTTGCAACCATTGGTTACTATGCGACTCATTTGTATGCTTCCATTGCTGAAGAGAATCCGTGCTTGTCGGTTGAGACCAGGACCTGAAATCGCTAAATGCCGACATGTTCATTTGATTTGGCCAGTTGTTTGCATCGTTCGTGGAATGTTCTTTCTTTATGTTTTCAGGGGCGGGTGGAGGCCGCAAATATGATCTATTTCGTTGTAGCGACGATGGTGGACATTGATTACCCATGTCATCAAAACTTTTTATATTTGTATCCATTTCTGGATCCTGCCAATCAGCTGGCGCATTGTTCTGCCAATTATTCGCAGGCATTGAATTCGTTTGATCTGGTTTGTGCCAATTATAATTGCTACCAGCTAAGAAAGGATATCCTGTTTGATCCTCTTGGCTTTGTAGAGAGGATTTTTGTGGTGGATATGGAACAGTTTGAGGCTGAGGCTCGTTTGCCCACTGGGAACGATCATAATCTAAAGACACAGATTTATCAGAAGTGGATCTAGGTGGCGGTGGATATTGTTGGTATGGATAATTTAAATAAGATGGATAGGAATCCGAATGGTTTGAAATGGGCTGTTTGTTGCCAATTGTTCCATGCATATTTCCATCTGGCATGATATTCTGATTAATTAAATCGGTCTTATTGCCATTAACATTTTGGTAATAATGATCTTGAATGGAATTGGATATCAGCTGTCCTTGATTTTTATATGGCGGTGCATAATGCTGTTGTGGTTGCTGATCTTGTTGAGGAGGCTGTTGTTGTTGTTGTTGTTGTTGCTGATTATCTGCTTGCTTATCAAAGTCCCAATTCCATGAATTATTCCAAGGATCAGCAGCCTGTTTCGACTGATTCATAACTGTAGTTTGTTGTTGCATGGAGTCATTGGATGATAGATCCGCTTGCACTCTTGGTATTGGGTTCCACATATTTTGATTATGGGCTCCATATCCTAAATTATGATCTACTTTAGACCTTACAGGTCTAGCTCTATAGGGATTCTAAAAGCATAATTTAAATGTTAATAAACAACCCAAATGTCAATATCTGCTTGCAATTACTGTTCTACTTACGCTCATACTGCCTTTGGAACAGTACAGTTCGCTTTTTACTTATAGTAAAACCTAAAAATCAAAAACTGATTTTTATATTCTATTATATCAGAAAGAATATGTTACGTTCTTATTAATTATTTAACCTTTAATCGATGTTCAAAAAACAATTAAATTATTTAAGTAAAGGGAAATCTACTTTCGCATATAATGAGAAACTTATATGTATGTACATATATATGCATATATATATATATATATGTATATATATAGGTCAATAGGAACTTATTTCTCATTATTTTAATAAACCTCCCCGCGATAATGTCACGCGCATACAATTACTCGACGATAAGACAGGTAAAACGTATCTAAGTCGCAAAGTCGACAAGCGAAAAAATCAAAATACAAAATCCGTTGAAGCTGGCAAGAGGTTGGTCCGAGAGACAAAATTCCTCGAGCATCCGCAGGACAAAACACGAAATTAGTTTAATTATGTAACGAAAATCGTGAGAGGGCAGTATTTGCGTATAAAAGCACAGTTGCCGGACAAGAGAAAGCCGTGGGAACGAAAATTAAGATCATTCTGAGAAAAAGTCAGGATACCAGCTGTGATAGCCAAGTTAGCGTTCAGGGACCTCTCGTATTCGTTCACTCACCTAGCTATCGTATCTGGCACTGGTGTCCATACGCAAGCACAAGCATTATTTTCTTCCGTCGAACATTCGTATCGTTGCTCGAACAGATTCGATCGATTTTCTTGTGGATCGAACGTTTATAGGGCTGAAACGGAGAATCACAGAAACCCAGGCATTTTACGGGCACTACAAGGAGAAGGTGTGGGTTAAGCACGTCACGAAATTTTTCCTCCTTCACTTTCCACGCGAGCAGAACCATAGACGCGCACAGCGCGAACGTGTTGATCTTAAACGTCAAAGAGATATGCGATATGGCATCGTCAGATGGCGTCACCATACCATTCGAAATTTTAAAGAAATCCCAAAAAACATACGAACAATAATCAATTTCATACGATCCATATGTCGCTAGAATTTAACTAATAGATTATTAATAATATTCTAATGGTTGAAGAAAAGTAATAAGGGAATAGTAGGGATAGAAATGTGAAGTAATGGAGGCCATTGTGACTAGACGATAAAGAGTGTTTTCTGCAACTTCGTAGCTATATTGCTTATTTTTACTGATCTTGTCGCAAATATATGTATATATGTATATATATTTATCGTATTTATAGCACATTCAAACGACAATGCAAAGATTTGCTGTTATTTGTAAAATTTTTACTTATTGGGAAAAATGTGAAAACTGAAAGGAAATCGTTCCATGACCGAGCCAAGCTTCGAAAACTTCACACCGGCTGACGTGGTACCTGAAGAGTGGAGTGGACGTTTGACGAATCGGCCACACTGTAGCCAGTTCCGCGTAAATGGATTTCAAGTGGTAAAGTTTCGTTGTACGAAGTTATTCAACGGGTTTTCCAACATTTATTCTTGCAAGTTCACTTGATTTTCGAGAAAATGGTGTTGTTAACAATGATTGCAAGAATAGCAGATGGTTTGCCATTAGCGGCGACCATGCAAGAAGACGAACAGGTTAGAAATCTGTTATGATGAAACGTCAAGTTTTTTCTTCCGTCGAATTTAGCAAACTTTTCCGAATAACATTTCCCATTAATTTGCACATAATCGAATGCAATGACGTCTCGTTATATCGGAAATGTGTTATCGTTATACATTATGGAACTTTACCAGATGTTAACAAGTATTCTTAATTATTTACAGAGTGGTAGAAGCATCTTAGATTATCAGAATCAGGCGAAGATGTTATTTAGAAAATTAGGGCCTCAGTCTCCAGCTAGGTGTACTATAGAAACAGGTCCATATCTATTCCAGTAAGTTTGTATTATAATTCCAATTCATTTAATTATTTACCTTCAATGTGATATTAACTTTTTAAATTTACAGTTATCTGATCGAAAATGAAGTATGTTATTTGGTGTTATGTGAGAAGAACTACAGTAAACGTGTAGCATACAGTTACCTTGAAGATATTGCACAAGAATTTCATTCTTTATATGGTAGACGTGTCAACACAGTTACCAGGCCTTATAGTTTTATTGAATTTAGTATGTAGTTTATTATATATTTTAAGTATAATTTTTTATAGGATATAGTAAATCATTAGCATGTTGAATATATTCTTCTTTTCAGATACTTATATTCAGAAAGCGAAAAAAGTCTTCTTGGATGGTAGGTCAAGAAGAAACATGAATGCACTAAATACACAGTTACAGGATGTGCAAAGAATTATGGTCCAAAATATAGATGATGTTTTACAAAGGGGTACTGTTCTTTCAGGTAAGAATGCAATCTACATTCTAAAATAATTAGCTTCATTTCCAAAAGCACTATATTGACTTAGAATTTATCTTTCAGAACTAGATACAAAAACACAAAATTTGTCAATGTTATCGCAAAAATACAAAAAAGACGCGACTCATTTAAACAGTAAATCAATGTATGTGAAGGCTGTAGCTGGATTGGTTGCATTCATAGTCTTCCTGTTATATTTCTTCGTACTTTAGTTCGAATTAATTGACCAGTTTGACATCACTGTGCAAAGACCATGGAAGTTTCTAATTATCCTTGTTTTCTTTCAAGATTAGCGGTTCCATTATATTTTCCAATAAGTGTATGTTAAATTTAATTTTTGACATCAAACGAAATTGAAACAATGTACATAAGTTCTATTTAGAAAGAAATTCATTGCGATGAATACGATAGTATTGATGCCGATTTCAAGACATTCTATCATATATATATATATACTATATATTGCCATGCAATAAATATATAGTAGGTAACTGTTTACACGAGTAGTGTCATGTACAACCATCATTTTTTCAATTAATATGAAAACAATACTAATAATTTTGTAAAAATAAAAGACAATATGTACAGCCGTATTTATATTAAATGAAACTTCGCTATCATTTTCAAACAGTGAAAAAAAGCCTCACTTACACCTGTTTGAGGTTGTATTAGTTATATTATATATATTTTTATATGGGGTGGCATAAGTTATAAACTTATAAACGATTTTTTTGTAAGTAAAGAGAATATATTAAATTATATTTAGTCTTATGGCTTTAGTATTGTCTACTTTTTCGGAGAGGGCACCATTAAGAACGTATTACAAATATTTTATGTCATCCAATTGTATCGGTCTATTGAGGTATCATATTTACAGTAAAAAAATTGAATTTATACTAAATGTACAATATGTTTTCTTGTTTAAACCAAGAAAAATAAAAATCTTACCATCTATATCTTTTTCTATTGGTACAAAAATCCTATTGCTCCATTTTTACAAGTTCGTCATAATTGGGAATGTTAAAAGATTTTCTATTTGTTACACCAATTTTTCTATCACTGTTACCTGACTCTTCCTCGGAATCCGAACATTCATAGTTGAAGAAGTAATTCACAGTTGAATTTTTTGTGTTTTTCTTTATTTGTTTATTCGTTCTTTTCCTTGATATATATCCATTACTACTTTTACTTATTGAATCATCCATGAATTCGTCGTCTGAAATATTATTTGATTTAGCATTTAATAAATTAATAACAATGTCCAATGTAACAATAAACAAATAACCTACCAGTATCAATAATTTCATATATATCAGAGTGATCTTTTAAAATCACGTATATTGTTGGAAATTCTATTATAGTTTTATTTTCCAAGTTTTTCTGTAATGATAGAGTAACATCCAATTCGTGAAACCTGATGAATAATAATTTGCAATTAAAGATTTTGTATTATATTTATTTAAGTAAGATGATTTAAATGTTCTTACTTTGAATCTGATTTTATTACCCTTTCTGCTTTTAAAAGAACTTTTAATCCAGGTAAACCAACTGCTTGATAAAACTGTAATCTATCAGTTAGACACTTTCTCAGATTTAATTCAGCTATATCATTGGTGTCTTCGAATGATTTCATAGGATCTAAAATATCCTCTATTATTTTGGATAGCTTCGTATTTTCTAAAGCCCTGTAATTCGGTATATTATTCCCTGTATAATTCGGTATCTCAAATTAATGTAGAACATAATATACTCAATATTTCTATTGCTTTACCTTCCTGTTACCACTTTTGTATGGTCTGCTTGTGCAAAAATCCATTCTATTCTCCAATATAATTCATTGGTTTTCCAATTTAAATATGTCGTATTATTTTTATGCCTACTGAAATGTTGTGGCATAAATTGTAAATTAACTTTTCTTTTAAATGCAGCTGTTTTGAGCTTACACAAATGCTGCAAAGATAAGGTTTATGTAATACACGTTTAGTTCTTATGTTACTAATAAAAACTAAACTCACCACTGGCAAATTAATTTGTCGAGTACACCTTTTAAGTGGATCCTTTTTTAGCTGCTCAACTGATCTACCAACTTCTTCAAGAAGTCTATAGTCTAGAAATTGGCAAACATTCAGTTTAAATGTCATTCATCTATGTCTTAGATATAGATACTGCTATAAAATTTAATTTACCGCTTAGAACATCCAAGTCCGTAAACAACTTTAAAGGTATAAATTTCGTTTTATCTCTGATGCCATCACACTCCAATTCTTTTTTGTGAATGTTTACACATTGTATACAACAAGTTCTAACCTCACACTTGGGGCACGTGTATTTCGCTTTAGTTGCACCGCATACTTCGCAATTTTCTATCCTATAAACAACGTTAATTTAGATTTCAGATAGCGTTGCGAACTTACCAATGAATTCATATTTTTGATCAAATAAATGTAGTAATTATTAATGTTATCATACTTTTCACTGGTGGTCGCCATATTTGGCCATACTAATTCTGGATCATTAGAACAGAACATATGTGCAATGTACAATTCGATACCATAGATAAAAGTATGACAAGAGTCGATACTCCAAGCAGAAATTGAGCATTACAAATATTTAATGGTCAGTTGTTTTACCAACATTAGATATATTAGTTTCCTATTTTATAAACTACCTAAATATTGATTTAATCAGCTATCGACACTCTTTGTATTGTCTTTACTTATGTAATATTTTACTAATGAATTTCTTTTCGTTAATAGATGAGAAGAACAATAAGGACTCCGCGTATTAATGTTACAAATGGTTTCCAATTTTAAGATTTATTTTTCATGCTTCTGTATGTACATATTTGTGGGTATTTCATGTGTATTTCCATTTCCTTTAGAAACATAGAATTGTAAATTCAATGACATCAAAATATGGACAATTTAGCTCTACTCTTCCGTTGGTTTTGTTCAGCAGTAATATTCTTTTCCGACGCCCTTAGATCTACAAGTTCTTTTTGTTTTTCATTATATTTCATTGCAATAGCATTGTATTGAATGCTTCCTTTCGCGTGCCTTCCTAAGGATTCCTTCAACTTTGACGACTCTCTCTCCACCCTTAAAATATTTTCCCCGATTTGTAGACTTGCTACATTTAACTGTCGATTCGATTCCGTTTTAAGATCATTTTTACTTTTTGTGTTACTCGTTTGGGTTTCATTTTTCGCTGCGAAAAAATCTGCATGTTCATTAAAGCACGAGCACTAGATGCAGAACCATAAAAACAAAATGTTTTGTACGTACGTTTATCACCTAACGTAATATTTATAAAATTAAACACATTTTTTTCATCCCTTTGTTTTTCTCTTTGGTACTGCCTCTCCCTTTGTTGTTCTAACTTTTGTTGCTGCTTGCGCATTCTACGTTCAACGGAAAACAAACTTTTGTCTCCTTCTGCGTTTGCCCGTAATTCCATACAGTGATCTAAAAATGTATACGTTTACAGTGATATATGTATATTCGAAGCTATCACCACCGGAATACAGAATATATTGAATTCATACCTAAGGATTTACCAGCTGGCAATACTGTCGTTTCGACTGGTTTTATTCGACCATCGGAATTTTTTCCCAATCCAGTACCCACCACGTACCCCATTTGAGCCATTATTTTGCTGCCTATACCACGAGTATGTTTTTCCCAATTACCAATGGGTGCAGTACTATCCATCGAGAGAAGGGACTGGTGAATTACTTCTTCTTTGGAATACTCTGGAGTATCGTTTTCGCTATCCGAATCATCAGATGTATCCGACATTTCTAAGTCGGCGTCAACTGTAGTAATAGACAACGTGAAAGAAACTATAGTACAATGGAATTTACACATGTAATACTAACCGAGGGGTAATATATCTTGTATGAAAGCTTCGGTTATGTTTCCGCTTGCTTCGAACTTAATCCTAAAAAGTTCTCCGTCTTTGTCTGGCATTTTCAGAATAACACCCCTGTGCCACAGTTTATTCTTCTGTTTTGCTAGTACCCTACTACCCATTTTTAGACTTTGATATTCGGGTTCCCTATCAATAGAACCACACTTACATATATATGTGTACATGACTTGACAACCGGCGTTTATACTTCGGTTACTAAATCCTGATTGATTACCTATATTCTTGTATGCTAGACAATAACACTAATTCACCATGAGAGAATCTGCATTCTTCGTCGGAAAACTTACACTTCCCATCAAAATAGTAAGGGCACGGGAGCATTTCTTTGTGCGTCGGATTTAGGAAGAATACCCTGACCTGAACAACAGTTATATTGTCTTAAGCATGCAAACTTGTGCAGGTTAATGTTGGACAATTAAAATCATTGAAGTTTCTAAGGGATTCACTTTAAAAGATACATTTGAGTTAATGCTATGAAATATTAGAATTACAGTACTGTTAATATTCAATTTCCTTACCTTTATTTCTTGCATACTTTTTACTTCCATTGTATTGTTGATCCAGTAAACTGAGCATATCATAGCATTATGATAACCAACTCCTCCCCAACTGCTACCATAGGGGGCTCTACATTTCATGCCTTCCAGCTGCTTCAACTCTTCCTACAACATTAACTTGCACCGTATAATTGTGTCATTGCTGAGCCTTATAGAATACTTGCATACTGACTTCTATATTGTTACTGGAAGCTCCAGCAGCTTGTTCATTCTGCTTATTATTCTCAGAATCGTCTGAGACTTTTTCCAGTTCTGCCTATTGAATTAACAAAAATAAAGCATAAGTAATAAATATATAAAATAATAAATGCAAAATTTCAGATGGTTGAATTAAGTTGTTCATTATGTATATGTATGTATGTATGTATATATATTTATACACATATATATATGTATAATTAATGTGGGGAATTACCTTGAATAAAGCATATTCCTTTGCAAGTGGATCGTCGTCGTCGTCGCTTAAAATTTCTGTGGAAGAATCATTCTCATTGTCCCCAGATTCGATGCTTTGCAGGCTCTCTTTCGCTAAGTTAATTAGCTCTTCTATGTCGGACTTTAAGCTCAACAAATTCTCTCTATCGGGACCCTCGGCCGTCGACGACAAGGTAGCTTGAACTTGTGCCAGCTGACAAATGTTTAATTTAATATACACAAATAAACCGAGGAGACCGTCCCTAAGATTAATCTTGGTGAATAAGGATGATGCGTACCTGTTCTTCGTACTGCGTGATTGCTTCCTTCAGACTTTCCACGTCTGTCATGATATTCCTGTGTTGACGACGCTAATGGGAATTGATTCATAAGTTCCCACGAAACAGGGATTTCCGCGTTGAACGCGTTTCACAGTTTACATTTATACTATATTTCCCGTTTTGCTTAACGATCGGAGTTATACATATACGTATCTGTCATGTACATACACTGTGTACGGTACACGGAAGCACAGAACCATACAGAACCAACGCCGAGGATGAAGTCCGCACTTCAACAACCGAATGGCGTCTTTATCGATGGAGTGATGGCGCGCGCATCGCGTACGATTTAAGTTATATCATAATTTAAATTTATTGATTTTTGTTATTGTTCTCGCAGTCAGTTTAATCGACTATGTTATAAATATTGACTAAATCTTAAGAATTATTGAAATTTTCTGTCAATTTAGCGAACATTTATAATCGTTTATTACAAATTATATAATTATTACGCACTTGGATCATAAATAACATTGAATCGCGCTTATAACTTACGACGAGTGTTTATTTTATATAAATCCAACGGTAAAGAAAAATTGATATTAACCAGAACAATACATGCGAACAATACATCTGTCCATAATGTGGCGACATCTTTAGTGTAGTTTTATATTTCGTGGAGAAACTGTACATTAACGAAACGTATATCCTACATCTGTGGCACAATCGTTGTACGTATATAATTTTCGAAATAGTTTGTAAAAATAATTTCACATTATATGCATACATTGGTCTTTAATATACTCTGATTGAAATACTCACATAGACAAATTGTAAACATAGCCTCGGTAGCGCAGTAGGCAGCGCGTAAGTCTCATAATCTTAAGGTCTGTCTCTTATACACATCTAGATGTGTATAAGAGACAGCAGGTACGCATCATCCTTATTCACCAAGATTAATCTTAGGGACGGTCTCCTCGGTCTGTCTCTTATACACATCTAGATGTGTATAAGAGACAGCAGGTACGCATCATCCTTATTCACCAAGATTAATCTTAGGGACGGTCTCCTCGGTCTGTCTCTTATACACATCTAGATGTGTATAAGAGACAGCAGGTACGCATCATCCTTATTCACCAAGATTAATCTTAGGGACGGTCTCCTCGGTCTGTCTCTTATACACATCTAGATGTGTATAAGAGACAGCAGGTACGCATCATCCTTATTCACCAAGATTAATCTTAGGGACGGTCTCCTCGGTCTGTCTCTTATACACATCTAGATGTGTATAAGAGACAGCAGGTACGCATCATCCTTATTCACCAAGATTAATCTTAGGGACGGTCTCCTCGGTCTGTCTCTTATACACATCTAGATGTGTATAAGAGACAGCAGGTACGCATCATCCTTATTCACCAAGATTAATCTTAGGGACGGTCTCCTCGGTCTGTCTCTTATACACATCTAGATGTGTATAAGAGACAGTCTTAAGGTCGTGAGTTCGATCCTCACCCGGGGCAATTTCTTTTTGAAATTTGAAGACATATTCGCCCATATCTTTCTTATCGCAATCTTGATAGGAACGCTCATTTAATTACACATAGCAATTTCACGTTTAGAAGAAACGTATCTGTTTTTGAGCTCTAATCGTTGGAACGCCCGTGAGCAGGCAACCACGATTACAGACGCCCCAGAAAGTACCAGGCTATTAGGAGTTACCATTTAAAATTAAAAATGCGTTCCTGATATTTTTGTTGTCACAATTTCGATGGTAAAGGCCATTTAGTAACATCCAGCAATTACGCATTTAAAAGGAACGGATCTATATTCAGGCAGCGTTCGTCGGAACGCCCGTGAGAAGGCAACCGCGAATACAGTGCGGAGAAAAATGCCAGCCCGCCAGGGGCGGGAAGACAGAAGTCTGTTTTCACGAACAGGAAAAGAGAACAGGAGACAATTATGCAAATGTAACACTCGCTGCAAGGGACTCGAAGTATCTTGGAATTGAAACGTGGAAGTTAAAACGAGTTGTGAATTGTTTGTTGCCCTTTAGCGATACCGCAATTTGCAAGCAAACAGCCCATTAAGCCGGAAGCTCTGCCTTTCCAGGATGGATAGGTGTTGCGACCCTTTCCGCGGCGAATAAATCCACGGGAAAGGTGTCGTGCACGTCCACGATATTTAAACAGCTCGTGCTCAACGAGGGAAAACAATGGAGAGACACAGAGACGAGGAGATCCGGCTGGAAAAAGAGAAAGAACCGGCTGTTTTCGGTTGCGGTTCTCCCGTCACGTTGTTCCGTACCAAACGACGATGTTTTCCTTTAATTCGGCGACACCTCTGATTGAACTCTATCCATAAAACTTGCCTGCGATCGTTTGTCGAATGGCGCACAAGGGGCCTTTCATTGCGATGAATGTATTCATCAACGTGGAACAAGAATTTCGTATTTTTCGGATTGCAAAATAATTGAGGGTGGTGGCAAGTTTAAGTGGAAGTCTACGAGTAGCGGAGACGATTTCACTGGATAAAGGATGTTTCTATGATGAATAACAGTGTCGGTCGCGGATGGAATCGTCGGCGGATAGTCTGGGAATGTAAACGAACCTCTCCGCGGTTTCTGAGTCCGCTCGCGCTTATCGTATTTTCAGGGTGATTATACGTCCGTGGATGTCGGAGATTCGTGGCAGAAAACGAGAGAGAGAGAGAGAGAGAGAGAGAGAAAGAGAGAAAACGTAGAAGAGAGACAGACGAAGACAGAGAAGAAAGGGGGAGAAGCTCCGATTTTTCGCGGGTTATTTTATGCAGCCGCTATTGCATCCGTTACGTATAAATGCAGAGACGCGGCCCGGTTCGCAGGTGCACAGCAGGCTCGTTGCAAGCGCGGTTGATTCCGCGTTGATTCAGGCTGTATTCAGTGCATCGAGCCCCGCGAATGAAAAGGCGTTCCGCTTTCTGAATATATTCCAATTAAAAAGTCGGAGCTTCGTTACACTCGGCCCAACCCTCGCCGCGCCCTGCACCTTGCACCCTCCACCCTCGTCGCTGTCTGTCTCTCTTTCCCTATCCCGTCACCCCTCTCTCTCTCTCTCTCTCTCTCTCTCTCTCTCTCTCTGTCTCCCTCCCTGTTCGCCCTCCCATCCCGCGATTTCGTCTTTTCCCTCCATGTACACACACACACAGGTACATTCAGCTACCCTTCCTCTTCCTTTCACTTCTGCTTTTTACCTTCCACCAACGGAACCGCGATCCCTTTTCGCGTACCGCCGTGCAGTCAGCCATCGTTCGCTCCCTCTCCCACCCCCTTCTCCAGTTTCTCCAGCAATTACTCCGCCGCTTTTTTTTCCCTCAAGAATTAGAATTATGCCCGTGTCCGTCTTCCTCCTCGTCCATTCGCTGCCTCCCTCGTCCTTCGATCTTTCAGCCCCAGAAATCCTCTCCGATCCTTTCGAACAAGGTATCTCTGAAATGGACTACTGTTATGGCAAGGGCAAAGTTTTCTCAAGCAATTGCCAGTGGCAGAATAGAGTAGATACGCTTACGATTTTACCAAGGACCATGCTGAAGAGCCTTGGACACCTACTTGGCCGTCTAGGACCGACGTTGTCCCGAAAAGTTGCCGCGAATCCTTCGGGGAACGTCTCTCCTGTCAATGATTTCAATGATCGACTGCAGCTCTTAACGCAAGAACAACATTTCCTGAAGCAATCGCAAGAACCACAAGCTGTCGAATAGAAATGGCGCTAGAACCAGATTTTGCAGAGCAATTTACTTTGCCAGGCGTTTGGCGAATCTCTCGTTATCAGGTACACAACGATTTCGAAGGATATGGACGCGCGCGCGCGGGGCACCCCGTCAAGTGTTTAACGACGCCGCTCTCGGAGGGTAACAGAGGGAGAGACGCCGAAGAGGGATAAGAAGGCGCGTGTCCAAGTGCCAACACGACTTACGCACGTATGCACGCGCGCACACGATCCATTCCCTCGACGACAATGCGCACGTGGCCGAGTACACGCGACAAGCCACTCGTGTGTCCCAGGATATCTCGTTCGAGTTCTTGACTCTTCGACGAGTGGATCCAGCAGGGTACATCGATCCGCGGGACACGATCGGGGGCGGTACAGTCATTGACGGATAAAATGCGGCCGTTTACATGATCAAAGCGTTCGGGAGAGGGAGAGAGAGAGAGAGAGAGAGAGAGAGAGAGAGAGAGAGAG